GACTCTTGGGGGCCCGCTTTTCCAGCGTGAAGTGATGGCATTCCTAACAAATGATGACGGACTTTGAGAGGAGGCGGCAGGTGTCACGATTTAGCCCTTATCTCTGCTCTCTTGGGAAAGGACACGCAGATAACACACGGGGGACAGCCCAGCCCGAGACGCCCGGAGGGACCCTGTCACGTCGCATTCGGCTCAACACTGGGAACATCAGCGTCTCTTGACATAAAGAAATAAATGCGGTTCTGCTCCGAGCGATGTCAGCGGGAACCTCGCGGAGGCGTGCGCCCGCCGGCGCTGCCACGTCTCGGCACGTCCTCAAGAGGAGGCTGCCGGGGAAACCGGGGAACGCGGAGGCGAAGCGACCGGGCTGCTCCCGCCCCGGGGAGCCAAGCGGCTCCGGCCTAAAGCCCAGAAACATCACCACGGCTTAGCTGTTTGCTTTGCGCATCAGCACTTCCCTCCCTTGCCATGGCACGCGGTTTGGGAAGTTATTTTAAGGGACATTCCGCTGACCTCCCCACGCTGTCAGCGAGCCTGCGGTCTCCTGAGGCTGGGCTGCAGATTCAGCCCCGCTGGCTTTAGAGGGAGAGAGAACGTGAGCCCTTGGGGCCTGGGACGGCGGGGCCTGTGTCCTGGGGTCGTCGCACGGTCCGAGCAGCTCTTCTCCAAAGCTGCACCAGGTACTGCTTTGAACAGAGCTTGCCTCCGGGCGGATACCCGCACCTCAGCTCCCGGGGACGGGTCCTACCGGTCCCGCAAAAGCTCCAGGGGAGGGCGGGGGGAGGGGAAGAGCTTGCCCGACATCCCGGCGCAATGGATAGCGGAATAACGGTGCAAGCACACAGACCGCAGGGAGTCTGGCTTTGCTGCTGGCCACCTGTTCAACAACCCACGGGTTTGGGAGTGAGATACGCTCCCCTTTGATTAAGGACACAAAATCAAAATACGCCCCTGATACTCCTGAATAAATCAAACCACCACGTAAACGGGAAAAGACGGGAAGCTAACCGCCACATTTGTTGTCAAGATTCTGTTCCTTGAATGCACTGCGTTGGCTTTTCACAGCTGCATAACTAAAGAGCGTAGGAAGTAGCCCCCCCGGGCTTCAGGAGCCCTCGCTCGGACAGAAGCCTCCCTCCGCCAGCTCCCGCCTGCCGCCCGCCGTGGCAGCACCGCTCCCTGCCCTGCCCTGCCCTGCCCTGCCCTGCCCCGAGGGCTGCTCGCCGGGCAGAGCTCAGCAGCCCTGAGTGAAACGCTGGAGCAGGACTGCGGAGGTGACGCACGGTCCCTGCACCGTTACCACTCCAGTTCCTGACCTGCCTGGGTACATACAGCAGTCAGGGCTCCCTGCCAGCCCAGCTTTCTGCTGATACAGGTGTAAAACGTTCCAGGCCAAACAGCCCCGAAGAGCACAGACTTCGCTCTAGAGCCTGGCTACAGCTCACCCAGTAAAAGAAGTGATCATAAACGGGCATTTCTGTGTGATTCAGAACGACCTGGACAGGCGGGGCTCCTGGGTAATGGGCTGAAATCCACAGGGTTCCTTTATTGATGATTCCTGGGATTTCAGTCTCTTTTTCATTAAACGTCTGGTGAACATAAAGAAGAAAAACTGCAAATTCAGTGTCATTTATGCCCTCATTTACCTAATGATATTGCTCCCCGGAGATACAGACAGCTCGCATTTCATCAAGTGAAAGAGATTACGTCTTAAAAACTTGTTTCTGGGCTCTGCAAACAGCACCGAGCCCTGCCTGCTGGGGACGGATGGAGCATCAATAACTTCAAGTTTCTGAGCAGAGACATTTCCAGTGCCTGCAGACAGCCCTGGAGCTGAGCCTCCAGGGAGGCAGAATCGAGGGCATGAAGAGGGTGTGGGCTTACCTCCGTGGGCTCAAGCCCACTCCCTTTACCTTGGGCCTGAGAAAAGCCCCAGGAGGGACTCTCCAGAGTAGTGTGCGAGAACCTACCTGTCCTCACTCCGTACTTCAGCGTGTCCCGGCAGTCCACCAGGATCTGCTCCAGGGACTCGGGGTTGTCTGAGAGCTCCAGGTTGAAGCCCTCCATGCCCTCCAGGAGCTGGTGCGGGTGGTGGAAGTCCAGCACTTTGGTGGATCTGTCAAATGTCTTCCTCACGTAGTTGAGGAGGATGTCCACGACCTCCAGCAGGAACTGCATGGTCTGCTCCTCGCCATTCTTGGCGGGCAGCAAATCTGCGGGACAAACCAGCTGTCAGTGCTTGCTTTGGGAGCCAGAGGTGGAGATTAAACCTGCTGCTGCCCCCAGGGCTCCTGGCCCTTCTTGCCTGGTGGGGAAGGGTGAGCCCAGATCCCACACGGGAACAGCGGGGGCACCTGCAAGGCACCCCGGCCAAAAGCATGCCCTGCGACCCTAATGCTGTGCAGTGTGGGGCACTCACCTCCCAGGGGCCAAGAGCAACCCAAACCCACACCTGCCCTTCTACTGCACTCGCTTCCTCCCCCCAGGCCCACAAAAGGAGTGATTTCCCTTCCCCACCCTCTTCGTCAATGGCCTCGAACCAGCAATCACAGACCGTTTCATTGCTATTTTACAGAGGAGGAAATAAAATATAAAATTACTCTCCACCCAGAGGCTGGATCTGGAGTGACCCTGGAAGAATCGCTGGAGCTGAGCTGCAGAGGATCAGCCCAAAGTACATAAAACTGCATTTCAAGAAACTTGTACGCATCGCCAGTGCGGCTCTCAGCAAACACACACACACAGAGCTTCCTTCAAAAACAACCAAGCAAAAGCACAGTCTAAACGTGGCTGCACTTCCAAGGAAGGCAAGGGCAGACTACTAAGGGCCATGCCTGAGCTAGAGCAAGTAGAAGCTGTAAAGAGCGTTTACCTCTGGCATACAAATTGGAGAAGTCTGTCTCGGTGCGCCGGAACCTGGATTCCTTCTCGCTGTTCTCGCATGCCAGCAGGCTCTTGGAGGACTGCCTTTCCTTCAGGGAGCTGACGATCCGGCCCTTGTCTTCCAGGCTGTTGGTCCTTTGCAGGAACCCTACATTGTTATTACAAGGTGCACAGGTCAGAGTTTTCTCACTTCCCAACATGTTTAGAAATATCTAACGCAGCTCTCTAGACAACAGTTCAAAGCAGTGCTGGCCCTGGATCTGACTAATGAGGTCAGGAATAAGAGTATTTATGGGGATTATTTGCCTCCAGGAGGGAAAGCTCAAAATGCCATCAACTGCAAAAACGCAGCCATGCAAAAACCAAATTTTCGTCATTTAGTGCAGTGGTAAATTCTTATTAAGTCGATCAGACAGATTCCACTTCAGTAATCAGCCACTGGAAGAGAGTTCAGGATGAGTCAATGCTATTTCAGCCTGCAGGCGAAGTTTATGGACCTAGCAGACAGGGGCAATGATGTATGATTAAAATCAGGGCCACTTTCAGTTCTCCTCGTGGTGCTGTCACGCACAAAAGGCATGAGAACGAGCAGCCATTCTGGAGCAGCCGTCCTGAGAGCACCAGAGCTCTAAGGACACCACTAGCACTCATCGAGCCCACCTTCCTGTTACCAGTACATACCAGCACGTGTCCAGGAGACGCGGATTTTCCACATGAAAAGATGCCTTTGATACTAACACTAACCATCCCCGAGGTCTCCAGGAGCTCCGCTCTCACCGGAGACGCAGCCCTGGTGCCCAGGACCCGATCGCAACTGCCGTGGTTAGGTGCAACGGCAGCAACATACCCCCTCACCCCAAGAATTATGGTGGTGGGCGCCACGCAGGGCCCGTGGCAAGTAACGGGACCCCTCTGCTTTCGCAAGGCAGGAAGAACAATTAATTTTCAGGATTCGATCCATTAAACCCATGCCTGCTAAAACACGCACAGTGTTGGGCTCTTCGGGATTTTGCCCTCCCAGGCTGCAGCGATCGTGCCTCTATGTCTGGAGCAGCGCCGGCCTCCTTTTTTCTTTCTTTTCTTTTAAAACAAGCAGGAGTTGAAACCAACGCTCGTCGCGGCTGTGGATATCCGTCGGAGAGGAGGACTTGGCAGGGAGGAAAACCAGCGCCGTAACTTCGCGCACCCACGTCCCCCGACGCCGCTCCTCTCCAGCGCCCTCCGCTTCCCGGCCATGCGCCCCCGCCCCCCGGAGCCCCGACGGCGAACCGGGACTGCGGGCTCCTCCCGCCGGGCGCCCACCGCCGGCCCGCCCGGCCCCCCTGCAGCTCGGGCAGGCCCCCGGGGGCTGCATCGCCGTGCGGAGAAAAGGGAGCGACACTGAGCCGCTGGGCGAGTGGCTCCCGGCACGGTACCGGTGCCTCGGGCCCTGCTGTCAGCCTGGGAGTCCCGTAAGAGCTGCCGAAAACGGAGCCCCCCGCCGGCAGCCCCTTCTGCGTCAGTCGGGCACCCGAACGCCTCTGCAGGAGGGCTGTTCGCAGGCAGGTTTGTCAAGCCCATCCTTCCGGTGAACACTTGACGTTTTGCCTTTTAATAAATATTGCTCTTCTACTAATTAGTTGCTTTCTATGATGCTTTTAGGGATACGAGTTACGCGAGAAAAAAAGACCGTTTAAGGGAAACTCTCTTCGTGCATAAGTTAAGAGTAGCTGTCCAGGATCGATGACTTGTTTGTCTGTTTGCTTTGGCTTTTTCTAGTTTTGTTACTGCTTTTATCGGTCCTGCAACAGCTAGTGCTGCTCGCCTGCTCATTAGGTGGAGCAGCTGATACCGAAGCAGGTGCAGTCTAGACTGAATTCCGGACCGATCCTCTTTCCCCAGGTCCTGCGGCTTCACGTTCCTTCATTTCTCCACTTGTCTTTCTTCTCGGCTCTCGGTGGTGACGCTCAGTGGAAAGAATTACGTGAGAAGGGACGCCCGCAAGAACAGCCGCGCTCCCCGCCGCACAACTGGCGCTCTTCTCGGCGTGCGGACACGCGTCCCTCGGCGGCTCCGCTGGGAGAGGAGGGGGCAGCGCTTCAGTAACCGAGAAAGGCGGCAGCTGCCGCCAGTTCGGCCCGCATCGGGCTCAGAGAGGCCGGCGCTTCGCCGAAGGGTCTGGCCTAACCAGAGCCGCGCCAGGGAGGCGGCGGCGGCAGCGGCAGCGCGCCGGGGGCGCGGAGCTCACCCGCGTCCAAACGACTTCGCGGCGGTTCTTGCCCGCGGAGGCTCCCCGGCCCCCTCACCGCGTCCCACAGCCGGCGGCAGCGGGGGGCTCGGAGCGGCCTCGCAGGGGGCCCGTCAGCGTGCTCCGCGTGGGGCCCGCGGGGCCGCGCGTGGGGCGGCTCGAGGGCGGAGACGAAAGGGGGGGGGGAAGCCTGAAGGGAGGAACTTGCTGCCGCCCGGCATCAGCTCGTTCGGCTGCAGACAACGTGTCGTTCGCCCCCACGGCAGAATCCCGCGGTCCCGGAGGGTCCGGGACACGGGGGAGCCCCCCGCTTTGGGGCCGCCAGACCCTCTTGTTCCCCGAGCTCCTCCCCCAGGAGGGGGGGGATGCCCCCCGGCGCCCACCCGCGCCCCGGGCTGAAGGGCAGCGCGGCAGCTTGCCCTCGAGGGCTCCCTCGGCGCCCGGGGGAAGCGGGTGACTGCAGCAAGCCTGTCGCCCGTGTCCTGTGGGAGGAACGAGGTCGGTGTAGGAGAGATCCAGCAAGAAGCAGCGTATGAAATAGCGTCCGCGCTGCTTCTCCTGTAGCAGCGGAGAGCGCAGCCTTTCCCAGCAGCAGCCGCTACCTGCCGCAGGTGCTCCGCTGAGAGGTGTTTTCATCGATGCGCTTTAGGAGAGCGGGTTTTTAAAACCGAGCGAGACCGGACTGGCGAGGGAGCGCCTCGGTCCCCGACGTGCCCACAAATCCGGCGTGATTTCACATCAGGCCCCGCACAAGGCAGGCGTGTGAACACCCTCGGCCTCGCCGCCCTGCGGGGAGCTCAGCTTCCGAGGCAGGGACAGACCCGCCGGGTCCCGGCCCGCGCCGTGGCCGCCGGTCGATGCACGTCGGTGGCGGCTGCGGGAGATCCGCGGCCGGGGAGGGGTTCAGCGCCGCCTGCGTGACTTGGCAGCATAAATCCCACTGACTCCGGAGACCAGCCGAGTTGCTAACTCAGGTGGCTGCTTTTGAAATCCCACTCTCCCGCGTTGCTCGCCGGGCTGGGAATCATCAGCTGGCCGGGGCCAACCAGCTGAAGACGCACCTGGGCAGTTTTACTCCGTCGAGTATTTCCACCGATGCCAAGCAAACGTTAGCAGGATCGGTCCCAGCAGCAATAGTAATTGCCGAGGTGGGAGTGAAAGGTGTAGCACGCAACTCCAGACACAGGGGAAAATCTGCCTATGCTTTGCCCGCCGTGACAGTTCATTAAACCGCTTTAAAATATGTTCTCTTTTTGTAAGTGGATGTGTGCAGAGACGAAGAGCGTGGGGGTGTGGCAGCGGCAGAGCGCTTTTAAGGCGGTGGCTTTCAAGCAGAAAGGAAAGGAGCTAATCCTTAAATCGGTCGGTTGTTTGAGAAGAAATGACATACGTCTTGGATACGTAATTACTGAAAATGTCAAACACACAATATACAACACAGGTGGAAGAACCGACTCATTGTTCAAGACCTGCCTTTTCTCTGAGCTCAACCCTTATTTAAAGTTTGCATTAAAAAATAATCGATTTCTGTGTGATACACAGAGAGAGAACAATTCTGAGGCGCCTGGTTTACTATAGATTTGTGACTGCACGATATTTAAGGTCCGGAATGATGTCTTGTGAAAGGTAAGGACGAGGGGATATCATCTGTAATAGTCAAACGTCAACTTGTTTAGCATGTTTAATTAGGATTCTTGGCAACCTTAATACTTCACTCTATACCAAAGGCAACCTTCCCTCTCTGTCTTTGTGAAGGTGTTAGATTCAAGTGGGAGGGCTCACACAAGCCAAAACAATGGTCGCGATCGAATGCGATTATTCCAAATCACCGTCACTATTCGGGGTATATTTTTTGTGCAAAACAGAAGAGAGTCAAAAAAGGAAAGCGGAGCACCAAACCCGACCCCAAAAACACAGCAGCCCTGCTTGTTTTGAACTCCCTTCACAAAGCCTCTACTACCCTCTCTTTCGCCTTTCTCAAATCCAAAATGGTGGGATATTTCATTTTCAGTGTATTTGATCTCATTGAGAGAAGCTGCGATGTCCCTCTGTAACCCCGGTAGTCTAGCAACACGAAACAAGCCTAACGGTGCGTTACTTTATCAGTTCTGCTTGCCGGGCTAAATTAAAATGATGATGAAAAAGCCCATCGGTCCAGCCACTGAAGGGACTGGTAGGGAAACGGTCCATTAAACCCAGATCAGGAGCTATTTATAGAACTAAGCGACTACTCGTTAATGTCGCCTGCGGGTACCAATGAAATCTCGAATAGGCACAGGGCTAAACATTCACTCCCCGATTCTTTTCCAGTCCAAACTTCCAGCTAACAAAACGTTTAGCAAATGAGCTTCGACTCGCGCAAGTAGGGCAAGAGGTTTAAATATACCTTTGCTTTGAGAAAAGGCCCGTTTCCCCCTCGAAATAATTCCCCATCCCCCAAAAAAGAGGTAGCTGGGGAAAATGGGAACTGATTTCTATTCATAAGGGCACGGGCTAAGGCGAACGATTCTCCCCATCAGAAAATGAAGATTTGACTGTTTGTCTCCGAAAGCGAAGGCGCTACTGAGAAATCTGGAGAAGACAGCTTGTTATCTGCAAATGAATCTCTTGCTATAACGTTGCGATCTGATTGTGCATTTGTTTCCCTTCCTGCATTTCATGTGCCTGCGCGCTGACTGGCTGCCAGCGCTATCTTACCAGCACAGCAAGCTGACGAATTGCTCTTTAATAAGGCTCTCGTTAATCTTTTTCCCCCAGGAGATCCGTATTTTCTAGTCAGATAAGGCTGAAAAATTTCAGACGGTGAGAGGTGGCCAAACCCCCCCGTTCGCTCCTCGCCGCCGGCTTCCCCGGCGGGTCCTGCGCTCCCCCCGCCGGGGGCGGCCGGCGCCCGCACACCGCCGTTTCTCGCAGGAGGGGCGGCGGGGCCCGCGGCCGTCCCTCCCGCGGCGGACGAGGCCTCGGCCAACGCGAAGCCAAGGCGGGG